GGTGACTGTTAGTGACCATGTGGTTGCTGATTTGTTGTGTTTCAAGATCCTCCCACAAGAAGTTGGAGGGTGGGAGTTGGGGTACTTGTCTCTCTTGTCTGGAAGCTACAGCATGGCCTGTAGGAGACTGACTTGAGAGGATTCTCTTAGGGGAATCTGGATCTCAAATCCAGGAGGAATGTGTCTGATGCTCACCCGTACACATAAACTCAAGGACAGCACTGGGCATTCTTACAATGTGGACGGCTCTGCATGTTCTTCCTGGGTTTGCTAGCAATCCCTTTTTTTCCATCCCATTTTCTCACACCGGTCCCACATGGATTCAAGTGCAATTTGCTCCTTGGTTTGCATAGAGGGAATTAGAAGCAGGGACAATTTGCAAATGTCCCTATGACTGGAGAGATAGTGCAGCTAGTAGAGTGCTTACCTTGCATAATGCCAACCCTGCTTTAATTCCTGGCACCCCATCAAGTTCCCCAAACTGTACCAGGAATAATCCGTGATTGCGGAGACAGAAATAAGCCCTGAGCATTTCTGTGTGTGATCTCAAACAAGCAAGCAAACAAAGAAAGCAACATTCCCATGATCTTTGAACATGGATGTGAGAAAGTAGGGATGGAAAGAGTTAGAATTCATCAATAAAATCTCTGTAGAGTTTTGTTTTAGGAAAAACATACTTGTCTGTGCCAAGTTAATGGAGGAGGAAAGCAGAAAATTCTTCCACGACAGATGAAGAGTTTATCGTGTCCCCAATTGATAAACCTTTCTGGAATTTTCCATCAAGAAGTTCCACAATCTTGGGCCTGGGCATGTGACTCAGTGCCACGGCACATGCTTATCATGTGTGAGAACCTAAGTTTGAATCTCAGCATAACAACAACTCATAGTGGAAGATAATACAGTTAAAAATGACTTTGCAGAAAAGCGAATGGACTATGCATTAATCCGCGCCATCTTGCCTGCCCGGAGGGGAAAGGGTGTTGCTCCCTTCTGCCCTCTCCTCTCTGGAAAGAAAGATGGCGGCCGCATGGGAGCCTAGTGGAGAGTAGGTCTGAGCTGGGGGTGGGGGTGCGACTGATACCTCATGGGACGGGGGAGGGGGGAGCGTTCCGGCCCGTCCTTCATGCCCTACCGAGGTCACCAGTTGCCCCCCACGAGCGGCTCTCCGGCACAGCCACAGCCCCAGAAGCACAGAAACCAATCTCTTAATTATCTGACTCTCAGTAGAAATACTTGCAGGGTTAATAAATAAAATAGCAGAAATCCAAAACTGCGCGGCCGCTATCGTGCTATTGCGGCCCCGCGACATCATTTAATTCTTGAACCCAGCTGTAGAAAGCAAATCATTTCACAATGCTTTTTCAGCATGGCTGATTGGGGGCGGGGGGTAAAGTCTAAATAATAATGGTGCAACTTTTATAATGGTGCAACTTTTATCGAAACAATGAAGCTATTCAAAGTAGATAGAGTGTTAACTAGAATTCATCTACCCCACAGGCATGGGGGGGATGGGGGTTTATTGGGGTTCTTCGTGGTGAAAAATAAGTATCGGTAAAGGGAAATGTGATTGATATTTGCATGACCGAGACCTAAACCTGAAAGCTTTGTAACTTTTCCCACAGCGATTCAATAAATAAATTAAAAAATGACTTTGCAAAGGACATATGTAGGTGAAAAAGGGGGGGAAGTTGCATCAATCTTTATGAATGATGTTTATTTTTAAAATCCCTTATTTATGGGGCTAGGAAGATTGCACCAAGTGTAAGTGCTTGCTTTGCATGTAGCTGACCTTGATTTGATCCCCAGCAACCCATGTGATCCCCCAAGAACCTCTAGGAGTAATTCTTGAGGGCAGTGCCAAGAGGAACCCCTGAGCATTGCTGGGTGTGATCCAAAAACAAAAACAAAAAACCTCTTATTTATAATCCTCAATTTTTTCCCTAAAGTCTAATCAGTGTACTCAACTCTACCAAAGATATCTGCAGGGAGATGATAAGCTTTTCGTTATCCCAATTTCGTATCTAAGGCAGAGCCTTACTCTAGATTGCTTCAAAGACTAGGATGAGGCTAAACAGTGGAATTGAAAAGGAAGAAGATCATCACTTCACTTCACTGCACAACTGTCTGATGGAAGAAAAAAAAAACCACTCATGTATCAGGGATTGCCCTTAGCATGCAAAGTATTCATGCAGAGACTGGGTGGCCATCACCAGAGACAATAAAGATGGACAGGAGGTTTGCTACTTTTCTTCTGTGTCTGCCCTGCCAGAGGTCCAGGGTGCCTATCTGAAAGGTAAAAATGGTGAGGCTATCCCGATAAACATAGAAGACTGAGTCTGTGTTCCTTCATCAGCCCAGGTCTCCTAGCTTCACCTCCTGTAATTTCACCTTTCATCAACTACTTCAAGTGTTTCTGAGCCCACAGAAACCTTTATTTTTTTTTTCCTTTTTTAGGGCGTTTGCCTTGCACACAGCCAACATGGCTGACCTGAGTTCGATTCCTCCACCCCTCTCGGAGAGCCCGGCAAGCTACCGAGAGTATCTCGCCCGCACGGCAGAGCCTGGCAAGCTCCCCGTGACGTGTTCGATATGCCAAACACAGTAACAACAAAGTCTCCAATGGAGACGTTACTGGGCCCACTCGAGCAAATTGACGAACAACGGGAGGGCCTTTACCTTTACCTTTTAATAATTTTATTTATTGAATGAATCACCGTGAGAGCACTTACAAAGCTTTCAGGTTTAAGTCTCGGTCTACAATGAAACACCCATTCTTTCACCAGTGCCCATTTTCCACCATCAAAAACTCCATACCCCCTATCCCAAACCCTCCCCTACCTGTGGGGCAGACGATCTCCACATTAATTTATCCCTACTTTGATCACATTCAATATTTTGACACCAGACCCACCATTATTATTTGGGATTTTACCCCAACACTCAGATCTGCCGAAAAGGCAACAGTAGACAATTTGTTTTCTATTGATGATTATGAATAACATATGATGTCATGTGGCTTCAGTAGTGAGTGCACGATTTTGGAATTCCAAAATTTTAACAATTAAATCTGGAGGGATTTCTGCCTAAACCTGTCGGATTCCAAGATTTTCCTGAGTCTCTGGGATCATTGATCAGGAGCCAGAGAGGCTGTTTGTGGGTGGTGACTTGGGATCTCACTGGGGAAGGGAGAAAAGGGCCAGCTCCACCCCCATCCTGTGAGGTCCCATGTGTCTCATCACTGCAGGCCCAAACCTGACTGTCCAATGGCCTCTGAAAGATGGCGGCCACTGAGCGCCAAGGGGGTGCATGAGAAGGGAAAACACCCGTTCCCCCTGGGGTGGTCCAGTGCCAGAAACTCATTGTGGGGACCAGACGCATTTCTACCAAAAGCCGTTGGATTCTGAGATTTGTCTCTGAGTCTCTGGGATCATGGCCATTAAGCAGTTCAATCAGGAACCAGAGAGGCCTTGCCTCCAATTATATAGCTCAGTCGGAGGTGGTTTGTGGGTGTGTCTCCCACATACTTAACTTTTGGATGTTTACTTTCTTGGTAAACTTTGCCCCAAGTTTTTAGGGTCTGGCCAAAGGCACAGCAGCAGCAGTTCTGGGGTATCTGGAAGTCTGAGGGCACCATCAGGCTGTGGATGCACTCACTTCACAGGTACAGATTGACCTGTTGGTGGCACCATACCCCCTGCCCACAGAAACTTTTAGACTTGCCCACCTCTTGGGTGAAACTTCCCAGAGTGTAAAGTATCATATTATACGGTTTGGTTTTTAACAGACTTCTTTCAAGATCTAAGTTGGTGTTCCTCCGTTGGTGTACTCTGGGATTTTGAGATTGATTCCTCTTAAATTTCTTAATGATTGATTCTACAGTCTTTCCTAGGTTTTGCCTCCCAAACTATAATCCTTATTTATTAAATATTTTTCATTATGAAACCCTTTCATCCCACTCCCTCCTTGAAAATTGTACTGTCTTTCACTGCATCTTTCTAAACTCCTTTTGTACTTTCTTGAAGTGAAAAGGCATGAACTGCACTCATAGCTTTTTCATTTTTTTTTTTTTTGCTTTTTTGGGTCACACCCAGCGATGCACAAGGGTTACTCCTGACTCATGCACTCAGGAATTACTCCTCACGGTGCTTGGGGGACTGTATGGGATGCTGGGAATTGAACCCTGGTCAGCCACATGCAAGGCAAATGCCCTACCCTCTGTGCTATTGCTCCAGCCCCAAACTCATTTAGCTTTTCCGGCTCACATGCCCCCTGTTTTATGCATGTTTTCTCTGTGGACAGAGTATGGTGTTTATTTAAAAAATGTATCATTTCAAGGCATGATCCTGGATCTTTGAAGAATTTTATGGACTGTGTGACTTTGAGGAGATTATTTAACCTGTCACTTTGAGAATAACTTTCTGCAGTTTCATAAACTGCAGACAGCAGTGTTTACCTTAATTCTTCATAGGGATCAAAATTTGGCATTTTAAAGCCTAGTGCCCTTCCTTGCACACAGCAATCACTGAATAATTCAGAAAAGTAGGACAAGATAAAAGAAAGTTTCTGCTCTTGATAAGGTATTTTTTTAGACTTTTTTAAAAGCTAACATTATTCCAAAGAAATTCTTTTTACTTTCTTTTTATGGGGGTATTTGGACACACATGCAACAGTGCTCAAAAATCACTCTTAGTAGTGCTTGGTTGGGGGTGGAACATCTTCAGTTCTTGGTGATCAAATGGGGTCAGCCACATGGAAATAACTTAACCCCAGTATTAGCTCTCCTGCCCTGAAAGAAGTTCCGTTTTCAATCTCCTTGCAAAATTCAGATTTCAATTTTCTTGATCATGTTCATTGAAACTGATCATTTCTTAGGCGTGCACATAAAAACATTGTCTTCAAACTTTAGTAAACATAAACCAAATTCCAGCTGTACAACTTTAGACCTTGTTTGTTTGGGGGAGCGATATAACTTAACCCATTATCTTCTGTTTCATATTTAGATAGTCTTGGCACCTCCCAGAAGCAAGAGTTACAACGGGAGAAATGGGAAAGAAATAACTTGCAAAGCAGAAGCCTTTCCCGGCGTTCCATAAGCAGAGAGAGATGGGTGGAGACTCTGGTGGTGGCTGACACGAAGATGGTTGAATATCATGGGAGTGAGAATGTGGAGTCCTATATCCTCACCATCATGAACATGGTATGGCCAGCTGCTAGGGTTGGGCAGCTGAACTGAAGAATGACTGTCATTAGAAATGCGCCCCCCCCTGCAATAATGAGACCTTGTTTGTCTGTGTATGTGTGTGTTTGTATATACACATATATACACAGTACACAGTAGATAATCTATTCCCTGTGGAGTGAGTAAGGAATAAGAGTAGCAATCCAGAAAAATAAGATGTTTAATCTTAAAAAATATGTATAGTATAAATTTTTAAAAGATCTTTATTGTTTCTAAAGGTACTCAATTTATTAAGTGACTCAATCTTTTCAGTAAACATTTTATCACTGATTTTCTGTATGAATGCATAAATTGAGGCAGAGATCTTGATGTTTTCAAGGTAGCTAAGCTAAACTTGGAATAAAGCATTTGAAACTCTTAATATAAGACATACTATTTGCATGATCAATGTTTTCTGCATTCCTAAAGAGAGTTTTAGTGTACCTAGATGGGGAGGATTCTTGCCTGAGTAACTGACAATTAAAAAGAGGAAGACTCTAGGTCAGGGAAAATGTCAAAGAGAAGTCATCAATGAAACATGACCATTCAATCTGGCAGAAAGGTGGATCCTAATGAGGATCAGATCATGACTTTATCCCTTTTCACTCCACCAACAGTTCCTGACCTATCATAATCTCATAATTTTAAGTACATCATAGTTGTGTCTAACCCTTCTCTTTAATGTGTTACAGTTTTTATGTGATATTAATAATCTTTCATTTCTTATCATAGGTCACTGGATTGTTTCATAACCCAAGCATTGGCAATGCAGTTCACATAGTTGTAGTTCGGCTCATTCTGCTTGAAGAAGAAGAGGTGAGTGATATTCCCCCCCGCCCCCACCACTCCACCCTATCTCCATATTTTAGAATTTTTGATCAATTAGAGATTACAAGAAAGATGTTTAGAAGTGTCATTGAGAAGAAAAATAATACTTCTGTGTTATTCACTTAAAACTATCATCATCTCAAATGAGAGATGAAATTCAAAAATATACATAGCTGGAATCAGCTAGCCATTATTGTATCGAGTAAAATGCAAATCAAGCAAGCAACAGTCAGTAAGAATGTCCCAGAGGCCAGAGAGCTAGTACAGCAGGTAAGGTGCTTGCTTTGTGTGCAGCCTTGGGTAGGTTCTGGAACACACAATTCACTTTCAACTTTAAGGCCGTGTTCAGCTGTGTGGCTTTGTGCACTTGAGGTTCATGATACCAGACATCCTCCCCTGCTCTACTCAAGGCTCAACACCTCACTCACGCCTCCCAGTCTCAGTGTAGACACTGCTTCTTCAGAGCCTCAGTGACCAGCGCATTCACAGCTGCCCCATTTGCTATTCTCCACTTCAGAGTGCACTGTACTGCTTGTATTGCTACCACTTGACAATCACTATTATTCCCCGTTTTGTTTAACATTTTCTTATTTATGACAGCCTTTATCAGAATGTGAGTTTCTTAGAGAGAGACTCTGTTTCTTCCTTTTAGTTACATCCTCAGAACCTAACAGTGCCTGGGATAGATACAAATACATAAATGGGACTTAAGAAATGAGAGACTTCTTTTATGAACACTGCAAGGACACAACTTGGATTGGAAACACTGGTATGAAGCCAGATGAGCCCCAGGTCCCCATGCCGTCTAGGTGGGGCTGAGGTAACAAGAGCAGCAGGAGTGTCAGTGGGTAGGAGGGTAGCAGGTGTTCACAGACTTACCCTCTTGGTCTACTGAGTGACTTAGTGTTGGCTTTACTTTTGTGAAACTTTGAAATTAAAAGTCTGTTTACTTGGGAAATTCAGCTTGGTAATTTTCTTTCCTTTGCCCACACTGGCACTCAGTGTGCCTGTAGAGTTGCTGCTTTTTCCTAATAAAGAAACTAATATCATCTTCTAATTTTGTAAGTATCAAGTGTAACATTTAGGGTTAGAGTGGAACCTAAATAATGATGATGAAAAGATTAATGAAAAGAATAAAAAGCATGCTATGCCCCATACAATTATGGAGAGGATTCTACAGGCCAGTCACCATGGAACAGCTCACTGTCCCATGGCCTAACAGGTTTGATTTAGAAGAAGCAACCCTAGGAGGTTGGCATGAGCCCTTGCATTTTTCTCACTAAAGAAATAGAAGCATAATCAACTCATGTAACCTACCAAAAGTTCTGCAGTTGGAATGGATGGATTCATATAAATCTTGTTTTCTCCATGATGTCAAACTAACCACAAATGGAGAAAGTGGAAGTGGAAGCATTTTATTTCATTTTATTCATTTTATTTCATTTCATTTTATTGGGCCTAAACTCAGGCCCAAAGGGGAATGGGGAGGCCATCAAAGGAAGTGCCTTAAAGTGAGAAGCAACAGAGTCCAAATCTGTGTCCAAGTTAACCTATCCAGTGAAATACACTTACAATCTATGCCATTTCACCAATAGCCAAGACCTGTGGAGAGCAGCCCCATTCAGCTTCATCAGCAGGAGAGCAGTCAGAAGATCCCAAACAGGATATTTTGCTTCCAGGCAGGAGAAACTCTCACAGTCAGAATTTAAATCAAAGATGTCTGGAGAATGAATTCTTGTTCTTCCTTTTCTCCTTTAACACTCCTCTTCCCTTAGTCTCTTAGCACACAGGAGCTACAAATATATTATTTACCTTTATAAAAACCTTAAGTTAAGAAAGCTTCTCCCAAACTTAGAAAGAACAGAAAATAAAAACCATGTATCCTTCTAATGTCTTAGATGGCCTAACATACCATATGTGGATGTTCCTATAATTAGTGTTTTTTCCTTTTATTGTAAATAAATTTTTATTATTGAATCGCTGTGAGATAGACCCTTACAAAGATGTTCATGATTAGGTTTCGGATACAGTGTTCCAACACCCATCCCTGCACCAGTGTACGTTTCCCAGCTCCGATGTCCCCAGTTTTCCTCCCATCATCCCCACCCCACAGCCTGCCTCTATGATAGTACTATTCCTCTCTCTCCAAACTCCAGTCTCTCTCTGTGACCCCCTCACTCTCCCTTCCTTCCTCCTTCCCTCCCTCCCTCCCTCCCCCTCACCCTGCCTCCATTCCTCTATCTCTTCTTTTTGGCATTGTGGTTTTTCAGTACAGGTACTGAAAGGTTATCATTATCCAGAAATACCACTTCTGGGAATTTACCCTGGGGACCCAAAAACACACAGCAGAAACACCATCTGCACTCCTATGTTCATTCCAGCACTATCCACAGAAGCCAGAATCTGGAAACAACCCAAATGCCCAAGAACAGACGAATGAATAAAAAAAAACCCTGGTGCTTCTACACAATAGAATACTATGCAGTTAGGAAAAATGAAGTCATGAGATTTGCCTGTAAATGGATGAACATGAAGAGTATTATGCTGATTGAAATGAGTCAGAAGGAGAGGGACAGATAAAGAATGACTGCATTCATTTGTGGGTTACAAAGAAAATAGTATGAGGCTAATATCCAAGACCAGGGAAAACAAGGACCAGGAAGACTTTTTTGAATATCCTTGATATTTGAATATCAAATATTGGTTTGAATATCCCACAAGTTTTCTTTTTATTACGGCCTAAACATGGTCAAGTTAGGTACTAAGATGCAGATCTGTGGGAAGCTTCAAATAGTTGATGTCTGGTTAGAAGTAACTTGTGTACAGTGTAACAAGTTACTCCAAAGATTATGGCTTTATTTTATTGGTAAAACATGAATGAATTTTGTCTCCAATTTATCAGTCTTATTCTAGCTTTTGCTTTTTTTTTCACCAACTCTAGTCACATCAGCTTTGTACATCTGTCTTTGAAGCAGCTTACCATGTTGCCCATCTGCTCACTAATGAGTTGACTACATGTTTAACACATTCTCACTTGCTCTATATTTATATGAGAACAATACTTTCAACTTTTTAAAAATTATATTTGGAGAACCTGGAGGAAAATATTTAGCTCTGTAAAATAGCTAAGAATATATGCATACTTAGCTACAGACTATATGAACATTTAGGATTTTCATACATTAAAAAAAAGGAGGTAAGTTTTCTGCAATCCGAGAGGGTTTCCAGATGGCACTTCACAGCGTGGTTTCTATGAATCCAGCCTTTGACCCTCACAATTCATTGTTCATAGGAAACAGGGCCACCAATTCCTGCTTCTAGGGGAGCCCTTTGGTGGAATTCATCAACCACTTTTTCTCTCACATCATAGTGAGATGATATTCTCTCTCTCTCATAATAGTGAATTTTGCAAGTGCAAAGAGACACAAATGATTTGCCCCATTCCAAAAAAGAAAAAAAGTTTATGACTTCCTGCCTCGCACTTGCCAGATATATTCCTCAGTCAAACTTTTACAGGATCCCCAATAGCACATGGTTCACAAGTTGGCAACAGAATTGCTAGCTCACTGCAGAACTGTGATTCCCAATTCTCATTTTTCCCAACTCTGTACCATGAAGGTAGACGACATAGGCAGGAAAGTACAGAGAGAAGTGCTGAGAGGCGGCTGCTTCTCTATGTAAGGAATCTTGAGTTTGATCCTGCCACCATCCAGTTGATAACTCTCAGATGGTATTGCTCCTGGCCTCATTTTTCTTTTTCTACAAATGTGAATTGAGATGGACCTGAGTCAAAGTCATGCTAGTCACTGAGAACACAAACAAGAATAAAAGACCCATTTCATAATGCTGAGTTTACTGCCCAGAAACACAAAGAAAAAATTGCAAATGTCTTTTATAAATACAAAGAGGAAGGAGTGGCTGTAGTACCTGGGACAGCAAAGGATACTTGGGTACATCAGCCTGGTTTTAGAGGTTGAACTTGAAAAAGACCTGAATGGCAGTAAGTTTAGTAGTTAAGGTGGCACGGCACTATGAACATAGCATTGATATTGAATTACAGAATGAGAGGTTGAGAAAAAAGGAAGCAATGAGTTTGCTGGAGGAGAAAAAAGCTCAGAAAAAAACTGCCAACCTCCACTTACACTGAATTAGTTACAATATTAACTCACTGTATGATGGGGACATCTTTTAAGTTGTAGAAACAGGGATTTGCAAACTATCCATTATACATCTTCTTCCAAGCTCATAACCAGCCCATCATTAGGTACTGTTAAACTTGTCTTACCATCTCCCTTTCCATCACTTTAATTGAAGACATTATTTTCTCCACAATAGTTGTATATATTTTCTAGTCTAGGAGAGTTTTTCAATTTCATGTTCTCATTGAAGCCAGGATAATCTCAACGTGGTAATCTAATCATGTCTACTCTCTTTTGACAGCCCTTCTCTATTCGCTATGCAATGCCACCCAATAGGTTTTTGATTCTCCCTCTCATCTCTTACCATGCCTCTTACCCTTGGTTGAGGATGTATTTCTCTTGATTTAGCTGTGTTCTTCTACTCATCATTTTTTTCTGTTGTTTGTCTTATTTTTATAGCCTAAACTCCTCCAACTTGTTATCACTGTTAACATCTTATTTTTCTGATCTCAGTATGAGTTACTTCACTAGGAGGAGTTCTTGTAATATTCTTTTAGATGCTCACACAGCATCATGAATTGCTTCTCCAGAGCATGCGTCACGTCTGTTTGGTTAAAGCAGTTTTCTCTGTTATCATAAGGAAGACTCCCTGGTTTTGCTCACCATTTAGTCCTGATGGTACCTAATAGATAAGAGAAAGAATGGACAGTGAAAGATGTGATAGAAGTCAGTAGGCAAAGAAGAGTAGCCATGTCATGGCAGGCTTGTGGCCACAATAAGGGATTTAAATTGAAACCTAAGGGTCCCATTAGATGAATCTAAACCAACAAACCAACAGATAAAATGGAG